CTATCTCCACCCCCACCCCCACCTCAGCCTCTCTGGGTCCTCAGGGAACATGAGGATCCTGCAGAAAGCAGGGTGGTCCGGGGTTGGGGTCCATAGCAGCCCACTTCCCCCAGCACCTTGGTGGGAAGCGAGGCCCCTGAGGAGGCCAGGCAGCAGCTGTATCCCCCTTGCTACTGTATTGAAAAACATTTAAACCAGAAACTCCGGAGAATAACACAGCAAAACCTTCTGATGAAGAAAATACAGTGTCACACGTTAAGGTGGAATCTCCCCTCCCTTCCTCCTCCCTCTTGAAGCAGCTACTGGCATGAATTTGGTGGATAGCCTTCCAGACTGCAGTTTGTGTGCTTACTACATATCTATATTTTGGATGGGCCTGTACTTTAAAAACAAACAAAAAAAGTCTTGCTTTGTTGTCCAGGCTGGACTTGAACTCCTGGGCTCAAGTGATCCTCCCACCTCAGTCTCCCAAGTAGCCAGGGCTTTAGGTATGTGTACCACAGCTCCCAGCTGCATGTAGTTTAAAAATGTATGTAAGGCCAGGCGTGGCGTGGTGGCTCACGCCCATAATCCCAGCACTTTGGGAGCCCAAGGCGGGCGGATTACCTGAGGTCAGGAGTTCAAGACCAGCCTGACCAATATGACGAAACCCCATCTCTACTAAAAATACAAAAATTAGCTGGGTGTGGTGGCGAGCGCCTGTAGTCCCAGTTACTCGGGAGGCTGAGGCAGGGAATTGCTTGAACCCCAGGAGGCAGAGGTTGCAGTGAGCCAAGATCGCGCCACTGCACTCCAGCCTGGTGACAGAGCGAGGCTCCATCTCAGGAAAAAAAGTGTATCAGTATACACGTGTATTATGTCACAGTTCAACCCATGTCCACTTTGGAGCTTGTCAGCAAAGCTATGTGTGAATCTGGTGCATCCACGTTCGTGGCTGTGCGTGCGGCTTCCCCCGTGTGTGAGCATTTGTTTCCAGTCCCCCCTCTACGAGGAGGAAGAGTGAGGTGGTGAACACCCCTGAGTCCCCTGGGGCACACACAGGCCATTTGTTCCAGAGCGCTGCTGTCTAATGGAAATAGCTTATGAGCCACATACGTCATTTCACATTTTCTAATACCCACCTTTTTTTTTTTTTTTTT